AATTCTCTCTCATCACTGATGTTTCTCTCTCTCTCTCTCTCTCCCTTCCTCTCTGAAATCAATAAAAATACATTTTTTTAAAAAGCATGTAAAAGCAGTAAAAAAAAAAAAAAAACCAGCATCCTTAAACCAAGAAGCAAGATTCATATGAGGAAAAGGGACAGTTCCTGAAAAATCTAAGAGGCTTTCAGTCTTTGACAAGATTGGTAATGCACAAAAAATAGAAAATATTATTACTGAATGAAAGGAAGCCTTTATAACATATGAACCTTATTATACACATACATGCATACAAGAATTTCAGACATCCTATATAATAAAGAGATAATATTCAAATTAACCCTCACACTGTCACTCAGGACTTTGAAAAGATTCCCAGGTGATTCTAATGTGCAGCCAAGGTTGAGAACCACTGCCGTAACACAAGATGGCTGTACCCACAGCTGAGGCAGGGTTCCCATAATGAGCCATAACGAGCGATCAGCAGGGACCTGAGGCTGTGTGGCACTGGGCATGGGCAGGGGACCTCAGGCTGCTCCCCTCCACCCCCAGCATGGCAGGACTTGACAGGAGACCTCAGGCCACGCCTCCCACCCCAGGGCCAGGCTACAGGACCTGAGGGTGCACCCCCGCCCGGCAGGGCTTGATGAGGGTGGGGCCAGCCGGGTCTGGGTCTCGCACAATTTCAAGGCGTGCGCAGGTGGGCAGGGACTTGACTCTGGGTCCCGTGGTGCTCCCCAGACTCTAGGATTTTCATATACATTTTACTAATTTTCTTTCATCTCTGACACTTCTATTATAGAGAAAGGGCAAATAGCAATATTAAAATATTTCCTCTAATTAATTCCCTTTTAATGTGCACGAATTTCGTGCACCGGGCCACTAGCGTTAAAAGTAAAATGCAGATTTATTAACATGAACTTTAAAATGGAATGGAAAAGAAACAGAATTGAGATTAGCATGTTTATTATAAACTTAGCAAAAACTAGATTATTTACTAGTACATTTACTTTTTTTCATAGCACCTAGTGATGGTTTAGAAATGGCAGACCCTAATGCATTGGCAGAAGCACGTAAAGCCATTCAGGAAGGAAGTCTGGCAATTCATCTTTTGAATTAAGATTCTCTAAAATATTTGAACTTTTTTTTTAGTATATTTTTATTGATTTTAGAGAGGAAAGAAAAGGGAGAGAGAGGTAGAGACATCAATAATGAGAGAGAATCATTGATCGGCTGCCTCCTGCATGCCCCCTTACTGGGGATCGAGCCTGCAACCTGGGCATGTTCCCTGACCGGGAATCAAACCCTGACCTCCTGGGTCATAGGTCGAAGCTCAACCACTGAGCTATGCCGTTAGGCAATTGGTACTCTTTTTCTCAAGAATTCTACTTCTAATAATTATCTTAAGAGAATAATCATATATATCAACAAAGATTTATACATTGAAATGTCTACTACATTATTATTTAAAATTAGGATTATCTTAATATCTAATAATAGTTTGACTAAATAAATTATGGTACAACCATACAGTAAAATAAAATTATCCCCGACCAGGTGGCTCAGTCACTAAGTCATTTGGAGCATCATCCTGTATACCAAAGGTTTGGGGTTCAATCCCAGGTCAGGGCACATATCCAGCTGTGGGTTCAATCCTTGGTTAGGGCACGTACAGGAGACAATCAATGTTTCTCTTTCTGTTTCACTCTCTTTCCCCCTTCCTCTCTAAAGTCAATGAAAACGTATCCTCAGAAAAATAAAAGTAAATAAAACTACCATGTAGATATTAATACCTGGGCTCAAAGCATATTTCAATGACACAAGATAATCTTAACCTAAAATACTAAAGTTCTGAACCCAACTTTTTTATATCATTTGACTACTGTATGTATGTATGTGTGTGTGTTGTGTCCACATTTTTGGACACATGCAATTTTACATGTATCATAATAATGAATATGTCTGATAAGGACTGTTGATCATACTTATCCTTGTGTTTCTCTGGAATGTTCATTAGAAAAAAAGTTCTACAGTTTAATTTAAAAATTTTAAATATGTCCACATTTTTGGTCAAGCAATAGAAATATTTAGGGGGGAAACACAGTAAAGCATAAGTATTTTTAAGAAAGAAAAAATGAACCAGAAAAATAAGGCATTCTGAGATTTAATAAAGTTATTTACTAAGAAGAATTTACGTGTCTTATAATTTCTATTTTGTCTTCTTGGGGTGGTGAACAAAACAAAAAAAGACAGGAGGGGAACTACTGGGGCCATGAAATTGTCGTTGTGTGGCAATGCCAAGCAAAAGACAGACCAAAAAGACATTTCCCATGAATGACAATGAGTAACTTCTTCTGCCCCAGCCAAAGATATGGATTTGGGGTGTATTTGATCCTGTAATATCCCCCTAGACTCTAAGCAGAAATAAACATGTAGTGTTATCTGTATTCCTGTGAATAACTTGAAATCTTCTGAAATATAATTCAAAAAATAGTTGATTTCACGGGAATAAAGCCAAGCCACATAGTATACCTCCAATTAGAAATGGGCTACTTCCAAGACAAGACACAGAACAGGCCTCCTTTAATTCCATAACCTGATATCTGAGCGAAGTAAGAGGTTCAAAACCTTTTAAAGACTCATTTTGTGGTACCTGCTTCCCCTCGAGTCTGGCCCTTCCCCTCATCCTGATACCACACACTCTCTCAAACATACACTCTATCTGTCCATGCTTGTATTCTAGCCACACTTACTGGGTAACACATGCAATCTCTGCTTGTGCTGCCATTTCCACGTACTTTATCCATTCCTTTAAAAACCAGGCTGAAGGGAAATACCTAACTGGCAACAAGCGCTTTCTTGCACTACTAACATTTACCTTTGGTTTTCTTTGTGTTCTCTTTAGACAATCCCTCCCAGGTTGGAAGTGTTTCTGTCACAATCAAAGTCTTAGATGTGAACGACAATGCTCCAGAGTTCCCCAGATTCTACGAAGCCTTTGTCTGTGAGAATGCCAAATCGGGGCAGGTAAGGCAGCCTGGGAGGCACCTTGGTTCACTCCCCAATGTAGAAATGACTTACAGATAACCAAACCGGCCATCAAGTTTAGACTCCAGATCCCCCAACTTCTATATATCATGCTGCAACACTTGATTTGTTAAGACAACTGTATTTGGAGTCTCCATTACTTTTTATGATCCAAAGACTGCTTTGATGATGGTTTGATTCATGGGTTAAGCTATTCATGTGTTAAGCTATCTACCCACACTGTAACTGAAGTGTATAGACCAACTGTAATAACATGAGCTCTGGGTCCTGGAAGTGAGAAACCATGAAGATCAGAAGAAAGAAGAGTCTTCTCTTTTCCTCGGGTTAGCACTAATCCCTAAAAATGTTTAAAATAGGAAAATCATATTTTTTATATCCTCCCACCCCATTTAACTTCTAGCAACAGGTACCTTTGTTTCGGGGTTGCCTGCCAGATTTTCAGAATGCTTTGTGACCTAGAATTATCTATTCCCTCTCCTCCCTCAATTAAAACACTCATTTTGTTAGCACTGTTCATGTCAGGTAAATTTTGAAATAAAATTAATCCAACTGGGCAAATTTCTACTTATTTGAAATAACTTTAGGGGGAAATTGTGTACTTTTAAACCTGCTTTTAAACCTACATTAATATTTTGTTGATCAAACTCCAAGTGGTGTAGCTGAGAAACATCTGACTCTGCTTAGAGTGGTCATGTATTAATTTATGTGTAGGGGAGTCGTCCACTTGAACCCATCCCTCCATACCTCAGATCACAGGCCATCTCCCCCTTCTGCTCCTGCTTTGTAAGATGCTTTCCTCCTCTATCTATGACCCAACAGATCCCCTAACAGTCCTATTTCCCTGTGGAGGACATTCTGTGGCCCTATGGATTCTGATGGTGGGGTGCAAACGGGTCAGGATAGTTTCAGAATGAAAGTTTGTGACATGCAGGTCTATAAGATGAATTCATACTTTGGCAATTCAGGACTTTCAACTGTAACGCAGTTTTTGTTTTCACTTCTCTCATTTTCCTGCATCATCACCTCCAGCATCCTGTGGCAGAGAGATACTATATCTGCACAACCCAAGTTTATATTAGCTTCCTAACCTCACCAAAGACTGACTCACATCTCTACCATTCTACTAAGAGCAAAAAGTGATTTCCATACCCCAGGGGGGGAAATGTGTCCTATAATTAATTTTATCTAAATTATTTCATCCATCGATTCTGTGTCCATGGTCTATAGCACTTCTGAAATTTTTTCAACAAGTCTAGGGTAATTCTACTTCCACACCTATTGAATTTCTGGTCTAAAAAGACCAGAATTATTATGAGACTAATAAAAGTTACAATGAAGACTTTATAGCATAACAAATGATCATTATTATTATAAGAAAGGAGGTATAAAGACTACCTATACATCCTTGAAGTTATGTAAAATTATGTCTGTTATGAATAAAGATTGAGAGATAAGATACAAAAATAACAATTGTTACTATGTGCAGATGGGTTTTGAGTGAGGGGGTCTGGGTCTTTATGTTAATAAGTTCTGTTATATAATTTATTATAAAAACATAATGTACAAAATCTTATATGGTAAGATTATACTATAATATGACAAATGTATAATACTTTAAGTTACAATATGACAAGAGGCTAATTTTTTTTTAATTTACTTATCAGAGAGGACGAGAGAGGGAGAGACAGATAGAAACATCAATGATGAGAGAGAATCACTGATGGGCTGCCTCCTGCACACCCCCTGCTGAGGATTGAGCCCGCAACCTGGGCATGTGCCCTTGGCCAGAATCGAACCTGGGACCTTTTAGTCCACAGGCCGATGCTCTATCCACTGAGCCAAATCAGCTAGGGCTCAAGAGGCTAATTCTTAATCCTATATAATAATAGGGTAACATGCAAATTGACCCTAACAGCGGAATGACTGGGAATGACTGGTCACTATGACACACACTGACCACTAGGGGGCAGATGCTCAATGCTGCCTGCTTGCCCGATCCCCCGGGAAGCGGGTCTAAGCCAGCAGGTGGACATCCCCCGAGAGGTCCCTGACTGCAAGAGGGCACAGGCTAGGCTGAGGGACCCCCCCTCCCACCCTCTGAGTGCAAAAATTTTTGTGCACAAGGCCTCTAGCCTATAATAAAAGACAATGATAAGTAGTATAGTAAATTAAACCCCTCTCCTTCCAAAAATGAAACATTCCTTTCTTAAAGGGCTTCAGAATAGAAGTTGCATTCTGACAGGTTAATAGCACTTTAACCACCTCTCTCATTTTAGCACACAAACACATATCCCTTTTTACAACTCTAAACATAGCTTTTAATGGTCTATTATAAAGTCCTTTGACACACAGTTTATTTGTGACTTAAAATTCAGGTGATGAGCCACAAATCTGTCATATCTGTCATCTTTAGCCCAAAATAATGAAAATCCTACCCTTTGATTTTGGCTCTGGGACATATTTTGAAGAATTTTGAAAGCACACAGGCCAGGAGTTATGTCTGGTTTATAAAGAATCAGCCTTGCCGAAACCGGTTTGGCTCAGTGGATAGAGCGTCGGCTTGCGGACTGAAAGGTCCCAGGTTCAATTCCAGTCAAGGGCATGTACCTGGGTTGCAGGCACATCCCCAGTAGGAGATGTGCAGGAGGCACATTGATGTTTCTCTCTCATCGATGTTTCTGACTCTCTCTCTCTCTCCCTTCCTCTCTGTAAAAAATCAATAAAATATATTTTTTTTAAAAAAAGAATCAGCCTCCTTGAGTTAGACTTGGACACTGTCATCAGGCCTGCATCTGCCAAGTTGGGATATGTGCTTTCCTCTTAGTGAGCAGCCATGAAGGAAGCCCATGAAGAAATCAGATGACATACTTGGTGAGGGCTGAGGGCAGAATGAAACCTGCTGAGCAGAATACTGCATGGAGAGTGGAGGGCAGGAGAGCAGGCCATAATGCTCCTCACACTCAGTGAGACAGTGTCTTTGCTCACTTACTCTTTAAAGCCCTGTTATCAACCAGTCCTATGCCTCAGGCCCCCATCTCATCAATATATATATATGCACGACTTCACAGATCAGATGTTCTGAAATGACTTTCCAACTACATTTACAAAGTTATACATAATCACCTATTTATAACATGCATCGACAAATATGTTATATGTCTTTATATGTTTGGCACTATAGACAAGAAGGAATGTATAGGATTTGTCTGGGCAGGGATGGGGCAATAGGATGACCTGTGTATGTGAGCAGCACTGATACCAGGCTAGACTGTGGGGCAAGTTTATCTTTAGTTCTCTCGTGAACCCTCTCCTTTATTGCAGCAACATTCCCCCAATTTTTAGATTCAACGGAGGCCAGTTACCAGTTGGATTCACCAGGAGGCATATACTGAGACTGTGTTTTAGTATAAAATGCTTTTAAGGAATGCCCCTGAGCCAAAGCCTGTGGAAGGGGAGATCTTTGGCAGGACTTGGCAAAAGGAGAGGTCCAGTTGCAATGTAGACCCACTGACAGCCTTGAATGACTTCATGTTGCTTTAGCTCTAGAGTTTTCCTGAGTTGAGATGGGTTGGTCAGGCCTTTCTACTATTGCACCAGTCACTGGATGTGGATTCTCCTAACCATGGTCGGCAAACCGCGGCTCGCGAGCTACATGCGGCTCTTTGGCCCCTTCAGTGTGGCTCTTCCACAAAATATCACGTGCGGGCACGCACGTACAGTGCGACTGAAACTTAGTGGCCCATGTGCAGAAGCTGGTATTTTGTGGAAGAGCCACACTCGAGGGGCCAAAGAGCCACATGTGGCTTGCAAGCCGCGTTTTGCCGACCACTGCCCTAGAAGATTGTGGTGATCAGGGATAGGTGGCTCTCAGGAACTGAGACAGTCCCCAAAAAGACAGACAGGTGAAGGCTGGGGCACCAAGTCCTTCACTGAAAAGAAATGTGAGCAGCACACTGTCCACAGAAAGTCCCCTTGCTGGAGCTTCCCTGTTATTTAAACTTCAGCCTACTATGAGGGTAGCATTTGCTCCCTTAACTTAGAGCTGAAGAAATGAAGACTAAGCAAGCCCACCTGGCCTTGGCTGACCTTTGCTGTTCTGGTTTCTACCCTGGCAGAAACACTGCTGGCTTTTAACAGCAGAACATCATGTCTACAGGATCAGGCCCATGTGGGGTGGGAGGAGTCTTTACTATTGGTTGATAGAGAAGCAAACACATTAGGAAGGAGACCACCCATTGAACACCCTTCCTATATCCCCCCAAGTCAGCCCGCCAATGGTTCAATTGTGCATTTCACACTGCTTTTTAGTAGCTTTTTCATCATGGTCTTCATAAGGCAACTTACTATTTTGAAAAGCATTGTGGTAAAGACAAAGTTTTGGCCAAAGAACTCCAGAAGAAGCCACTCCACCTCTTCCTCTTCTCAACCCCAAGATTTGCTTCTGAGTCTAATCTATTCTATATATATCTCCCACACTGGAGGTCCAAACCTTGTCAGCTCCCCTTCCTACCACCAAAGAGTGACTGCCCTATGACACATTAATCTGACATAGCCAATGTTTATGTTTATGTTTACTTCCCTTCTAGGTATTGGTCACTTTTAAATAAGAATCTCTCAAAGATAACAACTAGACCCTGAAATATTAAACCCAAAATGGAGTTAAGTCAGTGGGGTGAGAGGATGAAAAACTGGGAGACAAGCAGAACCTTGTAGCATTCCAGAGTTCATTTACTCAACATCTCCTATTTAGACTGCCTAAAAATGGCTGGCCTTGGGATGAGAATATGTTATGTCGATGTCTTACATCTGCGGTACTGAGGTAACATTCGCCCTAAGATGGTAATGTACTCAGGCCCAACAATAAATCCTGAGTTTTGAAGATTTTCCAGGTAAGTTTTAGAATATCCTTCTCATTAGGTAAAATAATCTGCTGTTGGATTTCTGGGTTTGAGATATCACTGGGCACTGAAGCTTTTTCTTTGGCTCCAACTCACCTGAGTTCATGTCCTTCCCTCAGCTGATCCAGACAGTGAGTGCAGTGGACCATGATGACCCACACACTGGTCAGCACTTCTACTACAGCTTGGCTCCTGAGGCTGCTAACAACCCCAACTTCACCGTAAGGGACAACCAAGGTAATTAGGTGGATAGATGGCTACCAATGCTTTCTACAGCTTGGACTGGACACTTGGGGTTACCATAAAAACAGTGTCAAATCCCCCTGCTCTTTTTTTTTAAATATATATTTTATTGATTTTTTTACAGCGAGGAAGGGAGAGGGATAGAGAGTTAGAAACATCGATGGGAGAGGAACATCGATCAACTGCCTCCTGCACACCCCCCACTGAGGATGTGCCCGCAACCGAGGTACATGCCCTTGACTGAAATCGAACCCGGGACCCTTCAGTCCGCAGGCCGATGCTCTATCCACTGAGCCAAACCAGTCAGGGCCCCCCTGCTCTTTAATAGCAGGGAAGACAGTAATGCAAAAGTGTAATGTCTTTCAAGGTTTTTTTGTTTTGTTTTCAGAACATAAAAGACAAAGAATCTGAAACTTTCATTCAGTTTACAAACACTTGAGGGCTGGCTCAGTCTTAGACACTGTGCAAGACACACAGCCTTCCTTCATCCCCACATATAACAGCCGTGTTTATATGTCCTATGACTATGGGGAGAATCTGAAAAAGATGATAGAAACTGAGTAAGATAAAGAGAAAAACCCGAGGGAACATTTCTAAGCAAGGATCAAAGGGAGAAACAGTAAAAAGCTCCCAGAATAAAAGGGAGGCAAAGGCTAAGTAACAGAGATAGCAAAGGGCAAACATGAGGTCACAGAGTAGTTCTGGCATTAAAAGAACTTTATTACTTTAGGGAGACACAGCCAAGGCTTCGCTTTTCCAGAAAACACTCCCCACTACAGCTTTGTGGGAATAGAATTCCAGACATTCTTCTACAATAAGCATCAGATGAGCTAAGGGGTTTAGAGTCCCAGCACACTCTGCACTGGGCACAGATGAGAAAATGAGGGACTTCTGTTCTTTAGCCAGATAATTTTCAAAGAAAGGCAGAGAAAATGAAAACATAATTTAAATCTGCCAAGTGAACCCCTTCTGTTACTAACTCTGCTACCAACTAGTTGTCTGACCTTGAGGAGGGAGGTCTGCAGTCACCTCATTTTCATTCCAATCCTAAAATATAAATTGGCACTTTATAACAATCTAAACAAAGGTAACAAATGATTAGGCATGCCTGGTCTTATTCTCAAACATCAATTATTTTAGACTTAGAGTATTAATTTCACCCCATGTGATATTCTGTTATTAAAGTTGAGAATATCAAACCTGTGTTCTTCTAATGGAAAGCATCCTTCCAAGTCATCCCTTTAACCTTCTATATGTTATCATAAATTCACTATGCTAATTCTAGAAGGAAAGATCATATAAATTGTAACAACAGAGCTAGTACAATTAAATATCCTGATATTTTCACTAGGTCAAATTTTGAACTATTCATTTATGTGATTTATAGGGAAACCCTTCCTGCGGAAAGTGTTTCAGCTCCTTCAGGATTGGTTTCACAGTGGAAACTCGATGGGGGGAATAACACATTATACTGTTTCTTCAAATTTTCCACTGTGTTACTCTGTTCTTTCACTCTGGTATTTGTCAGAATCAATATAGACACAATGTGCAGCAAAATGCTGCATATTTTTTAAATATTACTTTGGGTACCAATTAATGGAGCCAATACCTTAAAAAGATAGCCCACCAGAACACGATGACTATAAAAAGAAATTACTCATCTCTTGAAAGGTTTTCCAAAGTGAAAGCACATCTTCAATAGAAAGAATAAACTTTTAATAGCCTCATGACAATTTACCCCACAAGTATCCTTTACTGAGGCTCATTAAAAAACTGACCAACATCTGACATGGTAGAGCTATTGGTAAGCCCCCAACATCCCTGCCCAAAACATGATATGCCTTTTTTGAGATAGAACACTATCTCAAATAAAGCCTTACTTTTTTTAATTCCCAAAGCATTATGGAAAGTATTGTGTGTATATAGCACTTTGCCATCTCAAATGCATTTCCCATCCTAAATGCATTTCCCATACTCTGCTTTATTTGATATTCATAATAATCCTGCAAGGTTTGAAGGAAGTTCCTAATCCTGATTCTCACTATCTCATTTTGTATATAAGGAAAGAAACCAAATGTCCCAAAATATTAAGATTGGGACAGAAAGCTGGGACCTGTTTTAGCCACACATACACACAAAGATTTGTGTCATCTTGGAAAAAAATACTTTTCCCAAATGGGTTACTAAAGCCCTAGTTACCATATTCAACAAAAATTCTACAAGTGGCTGTTATATCCCAGACCCCTTCCAGGACTAGACTCAACAATGTGATTATCTGATTTTTTTTTAAATCTTAACTTATTCTGAGATCAATAAACACATGATGTCTAGTAAGTATGCTATAACACTTTAAAAAAATTCAGCTCTGGTCAGGCTTTCTTATGACCCAGACTCAATTAAACTGAAAAATAAAAAATACTTTTGCTTTAGCAAAACTTGGTTTCTGAAAAAAAAAAAAATTAAAGCTATGAAGCAGAATTTAACAGTATTTAACAACTAAATCAGAAAAACAGAAAAGGGGATGGGTTATGTGATATGTGGAAAAAAGAATAAAATCCTCAGATTAGCAATCAGTTGCTATCTTTACCTGGAAATAAGAGGAAAGACCTGTACCAACACAGGAAGAGATTTCAATTAACTGAAGGATTTTCAGCTAATGTCATTGAACTAAACAAGCTTTTACATGGCATAATTGAAGGGGTGTCAATTTGGAGTAAGAGAGAACAGAGTTCAAATTTCACATCTGCTACTAAGTTAGTGACATTGGTCAAATTATCTCTAAGCCTTAACTCTTTCACTGTAAAAGGGTGAAATTATCACCAACTTGTTAAGATTAAATGAGATGCTTCATGTAAAGTCAAACTACCTGACACATAAGCACTCCATGAACAATAGCTGCTACTTGAAAAAGCAAGGGGAGGAAAAAGTGGAAAAGTCTATCAAGAGGGAACATATTAGTCAGTATAGGCTAGGTTATGCTGAAGGAACAAATAACACCAAAATTTCTATGACTTAACATAACTAGAGTTAATTTCTTGCTCACGTGGAGATGACTAAGGGTCTCAATGACCAAGAATGGCTGTCCATGTGCAGCTCAGTGTCCCAGGCTGCCTGGATCTCCATCTCAAACATTATTTCATAAGGCCACAGCAAGGCAAAGCACAGAGAAACACATACCAGCTGTTACACATTTCTGCCTGGAAGGGACATGAATGACTTTTTACTCATTCTTTTCATCATCTAAATATGATCAAATTCAAAAGGGTAGAAAACTATAACATTTTATTATGTCCAAGAAGGGAAGAAGAACCAAAAATATTGGTATTGATATTAATAATGTTTACTTTGGTTAGACTCTTAGAATTTTTTGTGAAGTTCTTGACTCTTTCCTGTAAGTATGAAACACATCTTGAGGACCGACCATGTTGATATTAGCTTTGAGAATCATTGCTTGTTATGTCATACCCATCACTCAATCATTTCCTCTACTGAAAATTATCAGAGCTTTGCAAAAATATATCTGATTTATAATTAAAACCCACTCGGGGAAACTTAAAAACACAGATTAAAAAAAAACAAAAGATCACAACCCAATACATCACATTAGGCAAATATAATAAACAAACACACACACACACACACACACACACCAGCTTTGTGGAAACACAAGTAATTTTGCTAATCCCTTTTAAAACTGGAGGGAGAGAAAACCTAGTTCTGCTTGATCAGGAATGATCACATTAACTATTTAAACTTAGACCATCAACTAGGGGGAAATAACAGTCTGTGTCCTATGATTAGGGGATTTCAAAAAAAGCTTTTCTAAATGAATAGGTTCTTCAGAAAGCACAGGAGAAGTTGGTGACTGCATTTCAGAGGCATAAAAGAAAACAGCAAAAGACATAAATTCCAGCCAAAGTAGCAAAAATAAGCGATCTGCCCCAGCCATGTGGGCTCCTCAGCATTCTTTTCCTGGAGGCTCAAAGCAACACCAGGCCTTGGAGAAGTGGTGAGGAGGAGTCACTAGTGATTGTTCATTTCTGTTAAGCTTTCCCAAGGACATTTCAGTTAGATCTGAAGCCTGACAGTTCACCCTGGGCATTTTATGTCACAAAGAGTAAGACATAATCTCAAAAAGGGTTTTTTCTCTCCTAGGCCTTGAGGTTTTGCCTAGAAACAAGCAAAAATCTTGGTTTCTGCATCCCAGTGCTGATCCAGATAAAGCTATAGCAGACAGCCTGCAGGGAATGTCTGACCAATCTTTCCTTCCCACACCTGTTCCTTCCCTTCACTTTCCTCGATCCAAGAGACTAATCCACTTCGTGGTTCTTCCCCTTTCTTCTTCCCTCATTTCCCTCTTCTAATCCTGGAATCCCTGTCTTCCTCAGATAATACTGCCCGCATCCTAACCAGGAGGTCTGGCTTCCGGCAGCAGGAACAGAGCATCTTTTACCTGCCGATCCTGATATCGGACAATGGGCAGCCTGTGCTCAGCAGCACGGGCACACTGACTATCCAGGTGTGCAGCTGTGATGACAATGGCCACGTCCTGTCCTGCAGCCCCGAGGCCTACCTGCTCCCAGTCACTCTGAGCCGGGGTGCCCTCATCGCCATTCTGGGCTGCATCTTTGTCCTCTTAGGTGAGTAAGTGGCTCCCTTCCATTCTGTGGGTCCTGCAAATGCTCACTTAGATATCACTCAGTTATTGTCCTAGCACAGCTATTCAGAACTGGTGTTCCGGACCATGCTTACTGAAAAGGTGGCAGAGTAAGGTTGAGAAAAAGTAAATAAATTGAAGACAGCCTTTCCTAGGGGCCAGGGAATTATTTACTAAGCGTCTACTATAGGCCAGGGGACTATTCTAAGTGCTGGGATTAATAAGACAGATATGTCCCAGCCTTCACAGAGTTTACTTCAGAACAAAGCAGTTCATTCTGACATCACAGAACCAAAGTGATTATTTTGGGCAGGATATGATGATCACCTCTTCTAACCCTTTCATTTTGTATAAGTACTAGCTAAATCATAAATTGGTAGTGATAGGCCCAAGGCCAAATATCACAGAGCCAGGATTGAAACTCAGGCAGGACCTACACTGTGCATCTTCTCCTAGATGTTCATCTCAGATTCTGGAGATGATAAGTGTTACAGAGAAGGGTAGAGGGACAAGGGTGTCCTGAGGGAATAGGAGATGGGATGATGAGGGAAGGCCTACCATTAAGGAGACCTTTGAACAGAGATCTGAAAAAAAATAAGAGTGAAACCACATGGATATCTGGGAAAATAAGCTTCCTAGGCACTGAGGTCATCTAATAAGGAGCAGTGACTGCTGGTGAAATAAAAAGATGTGTTGACAGGCCAGTGGGCGAGCACTGTTGGGGTACAGGATCCTTTCTTACTCACCTCAAGGCATACTGCAAGGCAGATAACCAGCTCTCCTGTACATAAGGCCATTCATTAATTGTTTTTTAACTCCACACTCAAACACAAGAAATGAAACACCCAAACCAATTATTGAAACCAAGAAAATATCTACACAAATACCCCAACTCTTCTGATTGAGTTCTTAGCATACATATTTTGCTTAAAGAAAAGCAGACTTATTAGATAGTAATATTACCCACTATGAAAGAATTCCTAGCATTCTGTGAGAGAAACAGTAAAGCCCTGGGGATTTAAATTAGAATAGATATGCAGATACCCACATACCCCCTTGAACCTTGACACCAAGAGACTCAGTCAGACCAAAGAAAGAAGGGGCTAACAGCACAATATTAACACTTGATTGAATTTTAGGTAGGTCTGTGGAATATGCTTCTCAAAAAAAAAGCATTTTAAAATACAACATGCGGTTTAATTTTTTTTCAGTTCAGTGCTACATGAAGTGAGAAGTCTATAAATAAGTAACCTTTTTAAGTCCTTGGAGCCCTGAGAATTGTCATGTTTCTGGTACTTGTTGGTATTGACAAATAAAACTTTCCTTCAATTCCCCAAGTGTCCATAAGGTGGCATTGGGAGTCCTTGAGTGCATAACAACATAACCTACAAGAGGCCTTTCATGAAACTGGCTCAGGAGAAATTTCCAGACTGTCCTTAGTTCTATCTTTGGAAAATGTCTACATTTTAAGTTCACACTGACCCACAAAGATAGAGGTGCCATCATTAAAGAAATAATGATTTGAAGAGGCTGATGTGGACAGGCTCTCAAGTTAAAAGTGGTGTGGGAGGCACAATAAATTATGTCTTGTCTTTGAATTATACAGAATAAATATACTGTCTGGTGCTAAACTGAGCAGAGCTGTCATAAAATCCTCATAGTTTTAGGCACTGTTATTGCTATGAATGCACATCTCCCATTAAATATCTACATTAAATGTCTATCCTATCTAATAATAGACAAACATGGTAATTAACCATACCTCCGACATGCTTCCCATTGGCTAATCAGGGCGATATGCAAATTAACTGCCAACCAAGATGGCGGCCGGCAGCCAGGCAGCTGAAGTGAACAGGAGGCTTGCTTGCTCCAGTGATGGAGGAAGCCAA